CCCTCCCTCCTCCCCCTCCCCAAGACAAACAGGACGAGTTTCAGAAAAGTTCATTCATGGCAGGTTGAACATTCCCATCTGGAAAACAATGGAATGTGAAGCTGCTACCGCTGGGATAGCAAGTCATTTAAAACATTGTAGAAATGTTATCTAAAAAGAGCTCTTTTCACGTACAATTTTGATAATTCAGGTTAAGTTAGAAGGGCATCCAAAAGCAGTTTGAACTTTTTTTTTTTATTATTATTATTTTTAGGTTAATAATAGTACAAAAAACATTTGCTCAGTTTGAGCCAAATAGTGTAACATTTATCATAAATGCACTCTTTTCTCCTTAAAGACAATACCTGTGGCTCTTCTGAAAAAATAAAACCACTGGGGAGGTTTGATCAGAAGCACAGGGAGTTATACTTTTCTCTCAGGCACTGAGAGTGAAATGTGGATTGGGCCAAAAGGGGCTGCTCACCGACAGCCAGAAGCATTTCATTCAGAAATGTTATGATACAAAAAAGGGGCCTTTTATCTGCAGCGTCACATCCGAGCGCCGTCGCCGTGCGGACATCGCGGTCCTGCTAACGTTTTGATTAAAACTCTTAAAAAAAAAAAACACCGGCACCCGCTAACTTTGAAGGCTTGAAATGATTATTATTGAATCCCAAATATTAAAATAACTGTAAAGTAGTAATATCGCTAAGTCAAAGTCAAAATATTCTGCTTTCCTTCTACGGTAGAGTAAATGTGGTACGCTCTAGTAATGTTCTGCGATACGGTAACTGCTCTAAGCTTTAAGCATTTGTGCTGCTGTATTTCATTTATACCAAACTACAACGATACCTGATTAAACACTGCGGATCGACTACCACTGCTCTAGTCAGACTGGAAAAGGACTCGTTCCCTCAATGCCTTCTCTCTCTCTCTCAACTGGCCAAAGGGCCCCGGCTTTGAATTCGGAGAGAGGAAGAGTGTGCACACACACACACACACATACACATACACACACCGCCCCCGGTGTGCGCAATAAGGCAGGTTTGTTTTTATTTTGCTGTTTTCTTAACAGCTAACCCTGATTTCGAGAGGACCCAGGATTACCCTTTCTACAAGAAAAAATCTGTGTTCAGTTATTTGGAAAGGATCCGCCGGCCCAGCCTCACTGGCAGCCAGCAGCAAAACTGGAAACGCCCGGAACTCTACGTTTCCAGCCGAGACTTTTATTAGAACTAACCATAAATACCCGAAATAGCTTCTGTACAAAAAAAGCTGAGTACTCAACAGGCTCTCGTCTTACTTGATTACAAAGTATTGAATAACGACAGCAAATAAAATGGCAACCACTGCGAATCCGCAGAGGAGAACGATGGCGATGAACCGCTCTTCGCGTAACGTCTTCTTCGTCTCCGCCAGCTCCGTCGTCAGGTCAGCAGAGGGGGGGACCAGCTCTTGTTTCTGAGATGAGAACACTGTACTGGGACTGTAAGGTCCATACAGTTCCTGGGATCCAGCAGAGTCCTGGGACTGGCGGCCTGCGCAGACTCTGATGCGATATTCACAGTTTGTCTGCAAGCTCGTGAGACGGAAGGACGTCTCTGGTCCCTTGTACACCTGGGCAGGAGGAGGAGGAGGAGGAGAGAACCATTCACATGGGATTCATCTCTGAAACACTACATTTATACTTTCCATTCTGCTTTGGAGCAGAACGTTCAGCCTGGAGAAAAAGGAGGCTGAGAGGAGACCACCTCGCTCTCTACAACTCACACAGAATCACAGAATCTTAGTGGTTGGAAGGGACCTCTGAGATCATCAAGTCCAACCACAAAAAAAAAAAAAAACCCAAAAAAACCCCCAAAAACCCCACCCCACACCAAACGCCCACCAAAAACACCACACCCACCAACTAAACCCCACACTCAACACCTCACCATAAACCAATAACCTTGGGCACTAGAGCATGCCCTGAAGAGCCATGTCTATACGTTTCATAAATCCCTCCAGGGATGGTGACTCCACCACCTCCCTGGGCAGGCTGTTCCAGGGCCTGACCACTCTCTCAGTAAAGTAGCTCTTTCTAATATCTAATCTAAATCTCCCCTGCCCCAACTTCAGACCATTTCCTCTGGTCTTGTCGTTCGTCCTTTGGGAGAAGAGGCCAACACCTGCCTCTGAAAGGAGGGTGTAGTGAGTGAGGGTTGGTCTCTTCTCCCAAGGAACAAGCAACAGGACAAGAGGAAACTGCCTCAAGTTGTACCAGGGGAGGTTTAGGATGGGTATTAGGAAGAATTTCATCACCAAAAGGGTTATCAAGCACTGGAACAGGCTGCCCAGGGAAGTGCTGGAGTTCCCATTCCTGGAGGTATCTAAGGACAAGCAGATGTGGTGCTGAGGGACGTGGTTTGGTGGTAACTTGTCAGTGTGAGGTTAACACTTGGATTTCATGATCTTAGCAGTCTCTTCCCACCAAAACAATTTATGAATCAAAGAGCCAAGGGAAATGCTGGGAGAAGAGGATAAACCAGCATTAACCCACTTCCAGACAACCAGTTCTCCCAGTGACTCTCAAGCTGCCTTCACAGTCGTTGGTTTTACAGAACAAGCAAAGGGTCAACAGGGATCTGAATCTCTGTGGTCCTCAATCTGGGGCAACCTTTGATGCCGTGAAGAGGCAGGACCCCACACTGGAACCTGTCCCCATCCGTCACAAACTCCTCACAGAGAGGAACCGACTGAGACCTAGAACTCATGGTAAAACAAGGCCCTTGCCCAAATGAGATGTAATCCTGCCAGCAGCAGCATCAAAATTAAATCCAACCTTCAAATAGAGACAACTTTTATTTTCCCCAGTCATTTTTCAAAGCAAAATAACCCTCAAGTTCGTTATGTTAAGTAAGAGGTACCTGATCAAACTCTCTCCCAGCAGCAAGCTGAAGGATGTAAACAATGGAATCCCCTTTCATCGGCTGTAAAGGTTCCCATGTGATTTCATAAGTGTTTTCTTCCAGCTGATTTGCTTTGGGTGCTGGAAAAGAGCAATTGTTGGCATTAAAAAAAAATAAATAAATAAGAGAACAATGGTCTCTACGCGTGTTCTTGTTTTTTCAATTGGAAAAAAAAATGTCTAAAATCACCAATTATTACAGCGACTCATTTTCACAGTTAATGTAGCAAATGGGCACTGAGTTTCAGTGACAAGAAGGAAGTTTTCTGACTCTGGCTTGAAGTAGCTTTGCTTTTGTTCGGGTTCCTTTTAAAGTGTTCCAGTTCTAACACCAGAGACTGGGCAGCGTCAATCTAAAAGCTGAAGGTCTTTCCACTATATCTGTTAACAAGGTAGGGGGATCTGTCCTTCTTAGAGGCAAATAATTTTAAGCAATTAAGATTTGTTTCATTCTACTTTCTTTTTCTTTGCTACATTTCATGGCAAACTTAAAAACGATCATTTGTAGGTTACACTTGTCTTTGTTTCCAAGCTGACAAGATGCGCTTTTCATGTGTCAATGCTTGTAGAGATGAGGAATCCCTTCCAAATCACTAGAGAAAACACATTTTATATCTGGGTAACTCCACAAACTGAAATTACTCGTTACAAACACGGTTGAGTCAACTGATTTTCCTGTGGGTAATTAGCATTCTGATCTTCAGATGACTTTCTCTAATAGCGATCTTTAATGTTCCTATTAGAAAGCAAAGATCAGAGGAATTATTTGTGTCCTTATTTGCCCACACGCTGTCCTAACTTCTCTCAAATGATGGATAAGCCTGTAAAATGACTTTCAGCTGAAAACCTGGTACGTAAATGCCCCCTGGAGGTTTCCAGCACGGCGTGAGCTCACCTTTAAGAGATGCGGGTGGAGACTTAGTTGTAGTGAAAGCGTAAACTTCAGAAAACTCTCCCTCTCCAGCATCGTTATACGCCTGGATTTTAAAATAGTATGTAGTGGATTCACTGAGTCGCTGCACCTTGTATGTATGACAAGGACCATTATAAACAGTAACAAACCTGGAAGAAAACCACAGAATCCATACAAATTCGAGTTACTCGGCAATCACAAATTTCTATGGCAGTATCATCAGTGGAACACTTTCATATTTAACTTAAGCACAAAAAGAAGTAGCAGTACATTCCTGGTGCTCCAGCTTTCTACATACATAGAATCATAGAATTATTGAGGTTGGAAGAGACCCTTGGGATCATCGAGTCCAACCATCTACCCTACAGACACGATGACCCTCAAGCAGTTTGAACCGGAGGAAGTTTGAGGCCCCACCTCGAGGGCTGTGTCCAGTTTTGGGCCCTTTACCACAAAAAAAGACATTGAAGGGCTGGAGTGGATCCAGAGAAAAGCAATGGAGCTGGCGAGGGGTCTGGAGAATAAGTCTGATGAGGAGAGGCTGAGGGAGCTGGGGGTGTTCAGCCTGGAGAAAAGGAGGCTGAGGGGAGACCTTATTGCTCTCTCCAACTCCCTGAAAGGAGGGGGTAGAGAGATGGGGGTCGGTCTCTTCTCCCAAGGAACAGGTGATGGGACAAGAGGAAATGGCCTCAAGTTGCACCAGGGGAGGTTCAGATTGGAGATTAGGAACAATTCTTACACTGAAAGGGTTATGAAGCCTTGGAATGGGCTGCTCAGGGAAGGGGCTGAGGCACCATCCCTGGAGGGATTTGAAATAGTTGACATAGTGCTTAGAGACATGGGTTAGTGATGGCTTTTATCAGAGTTGGGTTGATGGTTGGACTGGATGATCTTAAAGGTCCCTTCCAACCCAGACAATTCTGAGATTCTATGATTGTCATCAGCAGTTCACGATGTGCATTAAATCAGCCACACACACCGTTCATACTGGTGGGAATCTTCATTTCCATTCACAAAGCATTCATTCAACCTGTCCAGGCACTGAGCTACAGCCACACACAGGCTATCACCAAAACGACCACCAAACTCTTGATTTGAATCAGGAGAATAACCCTTGTCATTAGGTAGGTAAGTTCCAATTTCAAATTAAAGACCAGCTATCAAATGCGTGTTTCTTATACTCAAACTGGGCTTCATTTTAGAATTTCCAAAAATTAAAAATAACCGGCAACATAGGAAGATGCTGAGATGTTACTTTACTGTTTAAATTTAAATTAAACTTAAGTTACTATTTAAATAGTATTTACTGTTTACAAGTAAATACCAGTGCAACAGCTATTGACAGCAGTTCTGGTGTAAAGCCAGGACAAAAAATGCAAAGCAAGGGGCAAACTTTGGGTTGCCCAGATGACTTATTAGTGCAGACAGAGGGGAGAATACTTAAAATGTCTTAAAAACTTGGTACAAAGTTGTAGAGCAACCACGTCCTTAAGGTTCTGCTGATCTTACCTGCCAAACCTGTCCTCCATCTGCAAGTTGAATTGTGTCGGGTTGGTAATTAAAGCTCTGCTGGGACCTTCACCCCATTTCAGTTTAAGGCTCTGGTAGCTGAAGACCACACATTCGAGATGAGGAGGGTCAGGAGGTAGTGGTTTCGTTTTGGCTTTAATGGAATGACTGAAAGGACCAACCCCCAAGCTGTTTATGGCCTGTATTCGAATTCTAGGAGGGCAAGAAGAGCAGCTTTATGGTTAATTTACTGAGTTACCAAAAAAAAATGCTGGGTAATAAAGCAAGAGTTAAAATTTGTAAAGAATATAACCACAAACAATAAAGCAATTAAAATGCAGTTAGAAATTAACTATAAAAATACCTGACTTCAAAACAGGTCAACATAATTACATTGTTTTCAGCATAATGAAGCCTCGGTGTTTCTCAGCATTGTTCAGGTTTATTCTGTTCAGTGAACACGTGCCCAGGTCCCCCACGTTCCCCCCCCACGGACCCTGAGGATCCACAACCTCAACCTGGGCTCTACCCGAGCGACACGACACAGGAACAGCTAATTCTGTTCTCATTTGTGCATTCACCCTCTTCTGGGGAGATCCTGACCATCCCATCACATGCATTGCTTCTGAATAAACAATTCTAAGCCCAGAAAACCTGGTATAAAGCCTTGGCTACAAGACAGGATGTTAATCGTAATTCTTGCTGCTAAAACATAGACTCATAGAATCACAGAATTGCCCAGGCCGGAAGGGACCTCCAAAGGTCATCTAGTCCGACCCCCCCGCAGTCAGCAGGGACACCCCCAACTAGACCAGGTTGCCCAGGGCCTCATCGAGCCTCTCCTTGAATATCTCCAGGGAAGGGGCCTCAACCACCTCCCTGGGCAACCTGTTCCAGTGCTCCACCACCCTCACAGTGAAGAACCCCCTCCTCATCTCCAATCTAAATCTGTTCCCCTCCAGCTTGAAGCCATTTCCCCTCGTCCTGTCACTGCAGGCCTTTCTAAACAGGTTCTCCCCAGCCTTCCTGTAGCCCCCTTCAGGTACTGGAAGGCCGCTATTAGGTCTCCCCGGAGCCTCCTCTTCTCCAGGCTGAACAACCCCAGCTCCCTCAGCCTGTCCTCGTAGCAGAGGTGCTCCATCCCCCTGATCATCCTTGTGGCCCTCCTCTGGACCCTCTCCATCAGGTCCATGTCCTTCTTATACTGAGGGCTCCAGACCTGCACACAAGACTCCAGGTGAGTTATCACCAGAGCAGAGTAAAGTGGCAGAATCCCCTCTCTGGACCTGCTGGCAATGCTTCTTTTGATGCAGCCCAGGATGGGATTGGCCTTCTGGGCTGCAGCTGCCCACTGCCTGCTCATGTCCAGCTTCTCATCCACCAGAACCCCCAAGTCCCTTTCCTCAGGGTTTAATTCTGGATATGACAATTTTATTTTGGTTTTCTTCAGAGCTGCCGAGTGAAATAGGCAAATAGCCTGCAAACCAATTAAAAAACCTGCTCTAAATTTTTAACACATCGAAGCTATTGGCTGAAAGTCCTACAACCGTGGTTTCAAAATAAAATGATTCATTATTACCTGTAGAGAGTGTCAGGCAGCAGATTCTCCAGAACGTGGCTCGTATTTCTTCCAACAGTTACCAGCTGCTTTTCTCCGTATTCGATGTTGTAGCCGGTGATCTCTGCCCCGTGACAGCAGGGCTCTTCCCACTGGATGGCAAGGCACGTGGATAAAGGAAGAGACGTCTCCATTTGATCTTCTTCAAGTAAATGCAGCACCGTCACCGCCGCGGGCACCGCCGCGGGGGTTGTCACCACCCCAGTCTCACCAAACAACCCAATGCCAGCCACATTCACAGCCTGAAAAAACAGACCACGTACCATTTACTGAATCTATGTTTTTTTTTTCTAACCAGTCACAACTCTCACGCGTCCTTTTGAGTGTTATTAAAAGCAATCTGCAAGAAAACAGAGAATCTCCCAAATAAAATGTAAATAGGGCAAAATGTCTATTTAAATACGTTAGATGTAAAGCTCTTTTCTAAATATATATAAAATTAGGAGGGACCAGGGGAGAAGGGAAGTATTTTTACCAATTATCTTCAATATTGCATTAGAAGGGAGTCCTTAGACCTCTTTCTAGTCCCTAAAGGAGCTACAGGAGCGATGGGGAGGGACTCTTGATCAGGGAGTGGAGTGACAGGACGAGGGGTAATGGTTTTAAACTGAAAGAGGGGAGATTTAGATTAGATACTAGACAGAAATTCTTTACAGTGAGGTTGGTGAGAGCCTGGCCCAGGTTGCCCAGAGAAGCTGTGGCTGCCCCATCCCTGGAGGGGTTCAAGGCCAGGTTGGAAGGGGCTTGGAGCAACCTGGGCTGGTGGGAGGTGTCCCTGCCCAGGGCAGGGGGGTTGGAACTGGATGGGCTTTAAGGTCCCTTCCAACCCAAACCATTCTACGGTTCTAGGTGACAGTACACAATTTTTTTCATTTCCAGCTGAAGTGTTTTTTTTCCCAAACTGCATGTACTTGCTTCATTTGCTTAGTAACACACAAGAAAGGGCTTTTCATACCTGTACTCTGCAATAATAGGTGGTTGCAGGCGTGAGACCTTTCACTTCATAGCTCTGGCAGGAGCCCGTGTAAATGATGTGCATCGACCCTTCCGCCTGCCCCCACTCCAGCCGGTACTCGCTGATTTCTGCGCCGTTGCACGCAGGACTCTGGGGGTTTAAATGATAAATTTCCCTTCAGCTCTGGCACATACACACACCATAATTGGGATTTCTCATTATGCTGAACAGATATTGGAAGAGCAACACTGGGGCAGAAACCTGAGGTCTTTTCCACAAAACCAAGGGCATGATTTTAAGTTCAGCTCGTTAAAAGGTTTACATCTCAACACATGGATATAACAAAAACACAGCTCAGACCAGAATTTTGAGTAACTCACCATCTCTTACCACTTGGATGAATTAAATATATTATATACTAGTTACTATACCATTAGGAGGATTAAACGTCACCCAGTTTCTTCAGTTAAGGTGGAAATTCACAGCTGGCAAAAAACTTACAAACCCAACGTATGCATCTATCGAGAAATGTGCTTAAAATATTCCACCTCTATATTTTTTTGTTTCTTCCATCTCTGTGTATCACACACGCATCACTACAACTCTAAAAGCCAAATATGAATCTATGTGTTACTGAAAAAAACACATTAAAACCTACCTCCCATGAAACTACAGCGCAAGTTGCACTTTTACAAGTTATCAGGGGTTTGCAGCATTGGTCGGGGGGGCCCGGAGCAGTGGAGATCTCTGCTTTGTCAGAGGGGGGGCCAAACTGCAAGAAAACACAAACTACATGAATTCAGGTCCAGCAGCAGAGCAAACACTGACACGTGAGTGTATGAGCTGAAGAAAACAAATTATTTTTAACCCAATAGAGAAATAACTAGGAGGGTTTGGTGCTTGGTTTCTCAGACTGTTTACAATTCCTTTCAGGTAGCTACTTTATGACCTGGCCCTGTGCCCACAGTGTATCTGGGACCCTCCCACTGCTGTGCTTTTTAAATCCTCCTTCCTCTCTAGTCAGGATCTGGCTTCCAGAAACAGCCAGGTACTGTTTCAGACAGACTTTTTATGCCACATGCCCCTCTCCACACAGTACTATTCCCAGGCCACCAACCTGCAAAGTCTACACTAGTTGTAAAACACGAGGCAATTTCTAAAGGCACAAACTTTCAGTGGCTACTCCCAACCAGAAAAGTAGGGTTCACACTGCAGAGAAATACTAAAAGTAGTAATCGAATGTCTAGAACTAACTTTGGACCAATTACCTTGGGTATTGAGGGTAAACCAGGAAACAAAAAGAACTACAATACCCAGGGAACATCCCCTTAATCAGGGACATTCAGTCCTTCCTTCAGTCTTAATTTATTGAGTCTTCTTTAAATAATTTTTTTTTATCCCCTAAGAAATTTTGCTCCTTCAACAGAACTCCGACAGAACACAGAAGCTACAAAATACCATCAGGCTTTGAGACAAGAATATCATTACTACCTCTTGTGTAAAAAAAAAAAAAAAAAAAAAAAAAAAAAAAAATATGGATCTCGTTAAGTGCAGTGGTTACCCCAACTTTATTTGCTGCTCGTATCCAGAAGCAATACGTTCTCCCTGGAAGCAGATTGTTTACTACATGTTCAGATGCTGGACCCTGATACACTTGTCTGCGTTCCTCCTGCTCCGAGGCTGCCATCTCTACAATGTATTCTGTGATGTCGGAGCCTCCATCTACAGACGGGGGGGCTGTGAAATAAAAAAAAGAATTTGATTTCACTTTTTCCCTTTAAACAGTTTCTAATTAGCCTTCTCAAGCTAAAAGTTGAATCAGATTAATTGTCAGAGTGCAGGGTTTTATCAAGTATCTGAGCAGAAACGCTTTATGAAGCTGGATTTTTCCCCCCAACAGATATAGTTGGATTAGTTTAAGATGTGCTTCATCAGGTTTTTTTCACATATTTTCAACACATTTCCTTAAAAAAAAAACAACCCAATGTATCTTCATTACTTTTTTATTATCTCCTTTGCTGAGATAAAAATAAGAAGAGGAGGGTTAATTTTTAAATTGCCAAATGTATGTCAGTTCTGAGGCAGTCAGGAAGCTTTCTCACTGGAAGACATTTATGTCTGCTTAAGTCTCCCTGTATGGTGGCACATGGCGTCACTAAATGAGATGCTTAGCAAGCTTTGGTCTTCTTAAAATAAAAAAAAGTAAAAAAATACAACTAAGGACGTGGACCACGTCTATATATTTTAATTTTTTTTTTTCCTCCTGTCGAGTTCTACAGATTTTTCATTTTTGTTCTGCCATTTGAAAGCAGACAAATATTTGGCTGGGAAGCAGCGGCGCTTACCCCACTGCAGAGTGATTTCCTTGGGCTTAGCTCTGCCCCCCAGGCAGGGAGCGAGGCAGGGGCCAGGGGGAACAGCCGACGTCGTCACGGTCGTAACATCAGAAGCCTGGCAGAAACACAGGGTGGTTTAGAGTGGAAACACAAAACCAGTATTGAACAGAAATGGAAATGCTTTTCTGAAGCAAAGTGACTCTCCTTTTTCTTACCTGGCTTTCACCCCCTTTACTGACACAATAAACCCTCATTCTGTAGGAAGTGCCAGGCTTCAGGTGGTCACACACGTGTTCCCTCTGGGACCCGCTGTAGATGGTGTCCCATTTACTCCCTGAGGGAAAACAAAAGGAAAATACTTCACACTACAAAAATTTTTGCAAAAAATCAACCTTGAAAATTCTCTCGTGCGATTACTAATTAAGAGTTAATCCAGCCACAGAATCCAAGTTGAATAATCAATTATGCAAAGAACATGTGCAACACAATATACATGTGTGGAAATGGAACAGCAATTGCTGGAGCAACGAGTGGTGAATTAGCACCCTGAATTAGTACTTAATTAGTACTCACCAACTGATGCTTCTGAGATTTCCAAAAAGTATTTAGAAATGTCTGCTCCTCCATTATCTTTAGGGGGGTCTGAAAGAAATCAACACCTTAAAATAAATTCTAGAAGATTTTAAAGCAATGCATTACGTCGTAATTAGCTTTTTCAGAGAACATATTCATTCACTGGAGAACATATTCAAGTAGAAAACTCAATTCAAACAGAAACCAGCATACTTAGATAATAGCAAAATATTTTATAGAACAACAGTTTTTTTTCTATTACTAATATGATTATACCAGGAAGAAGAGAAACTAGGAAAATACTGCCTATTTCAGGTATAACCTCTTATTTTTTTAGAACATGTGAAAATTACTTAAACATCAGAGTAAATTTAGAGGCCACTAAGGCTGCTACAACAGCACTGACTGCTTCTCTGAAATGAATGAAGAAAAACATTTCTTTTGTAGTACAGCCCCAAACCAGACCAAGTTGCAATTTTCTGGTAATGCCGAGTATTTCTCCTGCCATAGCAACATCTGCGGAGACAAATAATTAGCTGAGTACCAGGACAGGTTGGGGGTGACCTGCTGGAGAGCAGCTCTGAGGAGAAAGACCTGGGAGTCCTGGTGGCCAACAGGATGCCCATGAGCCAGCAATGGGCCCTTGTGGCCAAGAAGGCCAATGGCATCCTGGGGGGCATCAAGAAGAGTGTGAGCAGCAGGTGGAGGGAGGTCATCCTGCCCCTCTACTCTGCCCTGGGGAGGCCCCATCTGGAGCACTGGGACCAGTACTGGACTCCCCAGTTCAAGGAGGACAGGGAACTGCTGGAGAGGGGACAGCAGAGGGCTATGAAGATGATGAGGGGCCTGGAGCATCTCTCCAATGAGGAAAGGCTGAGGGACTTGGGTCTTTTCAGTCTAGAGAAGAGAAAGCTGAGGGGGGATCTGATCAATATCTATAAATACTTAAAAAGAGGGTGTCAAGAGGATGGGGCCAGGCTTTTCTCAGTGGTGCCCAGTGACAGGACAAGAGGGAACAGGCACAAACTCGAACATAAAAGTTCCATCTAAACATGAGGAGGAACTTCTTCACTTTGAGGGTGGCAGAGCCCTGGAAGAGGCTGCCCAGGGAGGTGGTGGAGTCTCCTTCTCTGGAGACATTCAAACCCCGCCTGGACACGTTCCTGTGCAACCTGCTCTGTGTGGACCTGCTTTGGCAGTGGGTTGGACTGGATGATCTCCAGAGGTCCCTTCCAAGCCCTGTATCATTCTGTGAGCTCGTGTGGCCACACGGACAGCAGCAGGGCTCAAACACGGCGTTAAGGAAAGGGAACCCACCCCACGCAACCTTCACGCTGTGCGAATGGATCTTGCCCTTGACAGCAGGTTTACTGGGTGCTCCTGGTTTGTCAGGGTTGGTGCTGTGTTCCACCACCTCACTGGGACTGCTTTTTCCTTCGCTGTTGTAGGCAAAGAGCTGTTTCAGGAATGAACGGAATATAAAAAAAAAAATGATTAATTTGACGACAAGTCATAGCCTGCCAATTTATAAAGTTTGTCCATGAAAAAAAAATAACAAAAAAAAACAAGCCCCCAAAAGACAACAGAATCAAGTAGTGCAAAAAGATCTCATTTGTATTATGATTCCACTAAAATCTATTGTAACAACAAAAGTACTGCAGATAATTTTCTGCTGTCTCCATAGAGAGTGTCTTAGATACATGAAAACATTAAAACTCCAGAAACGCATACAGTCATCATTAAATTAGAAACAAAACATAGTACAAACCCTAAACTTGTAGGATGTACTCCTCCTAAGATTTCTTAAAGTGCACGAGAGCTCATCTCCATTGTACTGTGGTTGGAAACCGTAACCCTGCAAAGAGGGAAAATAAGAACAAACAGCATCACTAATTTTCCACAGTAAAACAAAAAACAGATCAGATCGATCGCCTTTTTTTTTTTAAGCTTGAACTTCATCTTTTTATTTCATGAACACATGCAATACTTGCCAACTACTGCAGTATATGCAGGATTTTATTCTGCAGGATTGCAATACCACGTATCAAACTTTTACACTTAGAACAAACCCAAGCACTTACAGAACCTTCTTCTTCCATGTCCAAACTGTAAGTGAGAGAGTCATCTGAAGACACCCCGTTGGGTGGGCTCCACTTCACCGACAGCCAGGTCACTCCTGCTTCAACGAGCACCGGGGGGGACGGGGCTGGGGGGACAATTCCTGCTGTGTAATATGTCACCGTCTCACTGAATCCACTGGAAAAATATTAAAAAATATATATATATTAACAACAGCCGGCATAGTTGATGAGAAAATAAGTGACATGATACACCATGTTCATTACCTCATTCCGATATCATTTTTAGCAGCTAATCTGAGTGAATATTTTGTAGATGGAGAGAGTTTGGTGAGTTTATACTGCTTCAGGTGCCCATAGTAGCACTCTTTGAAGGGTCCATTCTTCCCCTTTAAAAAAAAAGTAAGAACAACCTGAGTCACTCCTTGAGTCATTTTTTACATGGAGACTGTACGCTCCCTGCTAAGGTCAACTTCTTCACTCTAAATTTTCCTAAATTTAATTTCACTAATTTAATAGTATTAATTAAAATATATATATATAAAAATCACTAAGCCTAAAGGACGTAAAAAGCTAATGTCATCATGGCCATACCGAGTACACTGAGAGTAATCCTGAGCATTCTTGATAATAAAACCCCTCTTTGATTGAGATACCTATTTTTTGGCACTGTGATTTGACAAAATGGCAATAAATGACTGCAATTGAAAACAAAAACGTTTTTTAATCACTTTGGAACACAATCCAGTGCGGAGTTCAAAAGCTGAGTGGTGTTTGTGAGAGCTACTGAAGATACAAGCCAAAGGTTCGCTCATTTAAACAGAGCGTAGGAATTAACGATGCTTTGAATGACAAGAGCCAAATGAGGGAGTTTACACTAAGATTGTCTACTTGAACTGCTGAAATATTACTCGTTTGATTCAGCTGTTTAATTGGCTTGTCCCTTTAAAACTGTCTGGACAGTTGCACTGAAAATAGCCCATGTACCTAAGCAAAAGGTATTTTTAAGTATAATTGGTCTACAGATGTCATTACGATATTTTTTTCCACTAGAAAAGGTCTTACCTCATCCCATTCTAAAAGAAAATTAGTTATTTTGGAACCATTGTCATTTGAGGACTGAAAATAAAGAGACAATGAAAAAAGTTAAAATCAAATGGTTGTACTTTTTAAAATATTTTTGCACATTAAAAAAACCAGATTTTAACAATTGAATATAATATACTCCAACCGCCTTTTAAAACAAAATATTTAGTGTAGAGCTGAAAGGAATGTGCAGCAGGGACCCAGAACTGCCCTCCTCTTCCACAGACACATCATCTGAAATTCTGCTGTGGGCACAGACACACGTACTCAGTGAAGTGAGTTAAAATAGCTCAAAGCAGCTGTTTCAGCTGGTTTAATTCCCCATTCCTGATGGCTCCCCAGGCTGCTATACTACCTCTAATAATTCTGATAGTTTGGAATATGAACTTATTAATAGTTTTATGAATAATGCAAATTATATTCCTCGAGCTTTTTTCCTTGTGTCCTTGCACTGTGTGTTCACCAACTGCCTGAGCAACATAAGCATTCAGGTAACATTAATTGGGAACTTCCTTCAAAGTACAGATTATACAAATAATTTAACTAAATAAATTCATGTATCTATAAACTTTTCCAGGTATAAGCATAGTCATAAGAACTTGAAAAGACAAGAAAACACAGTTACCAACAAGTCTTTGCAGATACTGTATATACTCAAAATCAGGTTAAAAAAACCTGAATCTACAAACCAGGCAAAGAAATTTGATTTGGATGGGTCAGAATAATTATAAGAACTCTGAATTCTTAAGTTAGGTCATATCCATTTATCATCCAGGAACCCTGAGAGTAAATATAACTTGCTCTATCCTTTCCTACGCTGCTGGTTCCAAAGAGAACTCCAGCACACCGAAGGCGTGTGTAAGAAACCAGCTAAATGTTGAAAGAAAGAGGAACAACCAACCATGATTTCATTTATCGGTCTTAACCGAGCAACTTAAAAGCCAACACCTAAAGTACACACTAAATTATTGCCAAAGGTAATTTAAACACACCATATACATGGACTTCTTACCTTCCACTGCAAACTCAGGCTGTTTTTGGTTCTGTTAATTAGCTTCGGTGCAGCTGGACAGTCTGGCTCACAACTTTCCGTAGTAAAACTCACTAATTCTGAAATGGATTCCTTTATGGAACTGCTGGTTGCTGAAACTCTGTACAAAGGACAATTAACTATGTTATTATTGCATTAGCACCTGAAAATTTAAGGGAAGAGCTGTCAGCTTTAAAAATGCATTTAATCACAAGGAGTGGATGCAGCAACAAGACCAGCTGCTCGTGTTATAAGCGTCCAATCATTCTCCTTTCAGATCATTAATTCTAAAAAACAGTTTACATTTCAGAGAAACAAGAAAACAGTCAAGATGGTAGAGAAGAAAACAAGGGGACATTTTTATAAAATTAGAAGATAAGTGGGAATTTCAACAGCAATAGCAATGTTCGTAGCTATGACATTTTATGCAGAATACTCCTCCAGTTGTTTGTGATCTCAACTTTTCATGAAACCACTGTAATTTTGTAATTAACAGATCAACAAAAGCATTAAGTATTTCATTGACAGAAACATACCTGGCATGATAATCAGTCGCTGGTCTGAGATCAGGAAGTGTGATTGTCAATTCTTCCCCACTGTGAAAAGGTAAAAAATAATGAGTTACAGCTCTTCCTTACACCGTAAAGGATAAAAGCTTATCGAAAAGCAAAACCATGTAGCGCACATTTAATTTTCAAGTTTTCCATTGTCCATGTAACTCTTTAGTGATATTACTTAAAATTTATTTCCCGTGATGTAGGTAGGTCTGCAAGTCAACAAACAGCTCCTGATAGAGAGATTGCTGATTGGTTAATGTTTTTAAACATCGGTATTGCGCTTAAATGAAGAAACTAAACTTACACATAGACAGATTTAAATTTTCCATTTTTACCACTGTTGGATATTGCTACTTCAAATGTAAATGCTGCTGGACTATGACTATGGCTCTCTCCATTCTGTGAACTAACTGGGAGATTCCAGGACAGAACGGCTGATCTTGCTTGTATATCAGAAACCTATTAAAAGCATAAATAATGCAAGTAAGTTTGCTTTCTGTAATAAAAGGTATATTAGTCAATAACATGGTGTCGCTAGTTTGCCTATGAAGTTCCTCACTGGAGGAGTTCTTTACCTTTGTAGTGGAAATATCAAGTCATTTTTTGAATTGATATTGTTTCCTCTTTTCATTTCAAAAAAAATATCGTATTACAGGATTTCCCTTCAAACACTAAACAAACTTCGAGACACACGACAGTGTCTCAGTGTCTGAAGAGAAAGCTCCTGTTTCACCTGCACTGTTCACATCACTCATTTGGAGCAAAATGTCCCATTTGGAGTCTCCAACCCTGACACCAGATCTCTACTCAGGCACAGTCAGACGGTCGAACTCTCAAACTCCATTACAACTCTCTCACTGCATCTTAATATTTAACCACTAAGATTTATGATAGCACAAGGCTCTGATTTTTAAGTGCTCACAATGAATTTTTTTTTTTTGCTGCTTAATTCCCATATTCCAAATTTTCTCTGACAAAGTCAGCACGGCCTTCTGCTGGCATTAAGTAGAAGCAGCAATGAAAAAATACTACTCTTATAAAAAAAAGAATAGCTAGAAAGCTGGAGTGAAAGAATATAACCCATGCTGACTGTGTAGATGATGCAAAGAAGATGCTCAAGATCAAAAATATCTGTGCAGTTTTAGCCTTTAGACATTTAAATGAACACCACCAGACTCCAACTTCCTAAATAAGTCTGCAAATACTCAAAACATTTGCTCCGATTTCTAAACATAACATAAAAAGATGATCTGTTTTTGTAAATTCTATTCCCAATATTCTTAAATCCTCTAAGCTGAACGAAGGATAGTTCAAGAGTGGATAGACTTCATCAGTTTAGCAGGGCCTTTGCAAGGTACTAGAGCTCTCTCATACACTGGAGAACTTCAGCAGTGGATATATATCGTGTTACAGACTGGGAAACTGAGTCAAACTGTTTCAGAAAGTTGAGAAAAAGTGGGTTTCTATAGCATGGTTGCCCTTTCCAAGCTATTAACTCTAACAACTAACATACATTTTCTCTATTAAAACAATAAACCATCAAGAAAAAAGAGATCAATAAGATGCATGTTATTTTATAGAAAGTGTATGCACAGAAAATAATGGTATTTTAAAGATGATACTTACAACTGGCTTCCCAATGCTCAAGTGAACATCACATTTCTTGGATTCTGTGTCAGATTCTGAAATTTTAAATACAAAACAGATTACCAAACCCCCCCAGGAGTAAACCAGTCTGTTATGAAAAGGCCACCACAAGATGGAGTTCGCCTCATTAAGAGTTTAACAATAGTACTTATTGTGCAAAGTTCATTTCCCCTGTTTGTTTTGGCTGCATGAGGGGTAGAAACATGAACTATCCAAAACTAACAGTGTTACAAAAACCCTTTTAGTACATCCTGCACAAAGGGTTTATTTTCCTAATCTGAGCATAAACGGGTTTTCTCTGACAACACAAAAACATTCCTCCAAAAACGAAAGGTGTTAAAAAAACGACAATAAGGTCTTATCTCTCTATTGTACGTGCTTTCCTTGAATTCCTATTGCAAAACACTTGGGCCAGGCATAACTTGGAAGGAGCCTGATCAAAACTGCACACTAAAAATACTTACTGGTAAAATGAATCCTATCTATACAACTGTCCACATCAAACAATTCAGGGTATTATTCTGCCTACAAATAAAACCTTATTTCCCCCCTCCCATTTGTATTAAGACAAATCTTTAATTAAGTATAATTCTCGCCCTTGAAATAAGTTGGATAAAAGCTTCCACCTCTTTTTACTTCCCAAGATACAAAGTCAGATTTCTTTTTTATTTCTCTAACCAAGGAGTTAAATACAACAGTGACACAGATGAGGAGTAGGACTTGCAGCCTGACCAGACCACCTAATTTAGGACATACACAAAGAAGATACTAAAAGATGCACAAATCATTTAAGGAATCACGAGAAGAAACTGCATTTCAGTGACACATGAATCAACATGAAAGACAAAGATATTGCACATGAGGTATTTTAGTGTGCAAGAGCCATAAGCTATTAAAAACGTCAAATTTAAGTAAAATAACGCACTGAACTGAAATGACAAGTGACCAAACAGCAGCCTGTAGAGATAGCTGCTCAAACCTTCCTGTTTCTTGAGGTTTTCAGTAACTCCTGGTAACCTGAAAAGTACCGCAAAGAATGACACCACCAGTTTTTTATGTAAGTACCCACAGGTCACCCTCACATGGAATACTGAGAAGGCCCAGGTCAGAAAAGGCAGAAGTACATAAATGGCTTAAAATTAAATCTTCCTGAAGACCTTAGTTTAGAAATCTCAAATGAACATTGACATTACTGTGATTTCTAGTGGAAAAAAATTCTAAACACAATGAAAATTATTTCAAGCTTTCTCTAATCCTGAATAGCCAAATAAATTTACAAATTCAGTTTTTTTCAGAAGCTATTTTGCAACTTATGGCATCTTCTGTTATAAAATAACTTGGATTATTATTTTTTTTTTTTACCCTTTTAATGGAACCTACCTCCCATCTCTGCATCTGGGCTGCCCTTTGTTTTTCCTGTCTGCTTCTGCTTTAGTGGTCCTCCTGCCCCTTGCTGTCCCTTCCCATTGCCATTCTGCATCGGTGCATTGGAAGAATTAACAACTTTATGGGGTGAAGATGGAGGGCTGTTAAGTTTATTGTTAGTGTGACCACTGGCTTGTCTGTCTTTTAGTCTTTTCTTCAGGTGTTCTTGCATTTTGAGACTTCTTTCATCTCGCTGAATGAAGTTTGTCCTTCCGTGTGTACGAGGTTCTACAAAGAAAGGAGAACTTAGTTAATTATTGAATACAATTTATTTGACACCTGAGAAATACACTGCAAGTTAAAACAATAACTACAGTAAAAGCAGAATTTGAAAATCCATGGAATTCCATTGGGTGTGCTTTGGCAGCCTGTGGATGATGCATGGAGTTTCCATTTTTCCTATTTAACCCATATCCAAATGGTTGATTTTTTTTTTCTTTTTTCTTATACATTGGTTTTGATCATTTGCTGAATTTAGGGGTTGGATTTTTTCTTCCTTTTTCTTTTTAAAATTTAATTCTTCAGGCCTTTCTCTTTTATTAGCTGCTCGAGATTATGCCTTACTGTCACCATTCTCCCCTGATCTAGCCATACAGTCACACTTTCAAAAAAAAGTGTAAGCAAATTTAGGACCCAAACTAACTTTTTAAAACATATCCTGGGTGCTACTGAGTATCTTATCCTGGACATAGCCAAAATATCTTAATTACTAATTTAAGCTTGAGAGGGAGAGAGATAGTGAATGGTCCTAATAAGGCTTAGAGCCTGGTTTAATTCAGCAGCAACCCCAGCCCTCCACTGAAGGATCACTTATTTTTTAAATACTGAGCAGATTTGCACTTCAGCCTCCAGCATGGCCTACTATATTTTTTGGTTTATGAATGTATTTTTATTTTCTTTCCAGTCATATTTGGATAAAAAAAAAAAGACATTTGTCTATCAAATTAAATGCATTTTCAAAATACTTCAAGGCAAAGCTGTGACAAAACACAGGGATTTTGGAGAGCTGAATTTTAGAAAAAGGTAGAAGCAATCACTGTGACATTTACAGTAACCAAAGTAAGGATCTATGAAAAATGTAATATTCATGGTATTAGAACACTTCTAAGTTACTGCTTCTGCATTTAACCCTTAAAAGGAGATTTAAACTCTATCCAGTGATAGTCTGCAACACGCAAGAGTGCCTTCAGACCAGGTTCCACGATACCTTATACACACCTATTTCAAGATACCCCATAAACACGCATAAGGCTCAGGAAGTCTAATAACTAGCACCAAAAAACCACCTAAACGTGTGAAAGACAGAACTCAGTTGTCTCAGTCTCGAGATGCTGTGTGGAAAAGCCTCCTTGTGTATTTAACCATCACCCGGGCTCTCACCTTGCTCCTGGAACACGTGTGGTGGTGGATGCTGGTGGATGAACTGTGGTGGCAGCTCTCCCGTGCCAGGAACCGGAGGGTACACTGGGTGAGGAGGGTGGGGAAGCAAAGCGTGGTGATGGTGCATGTAATGGGGTACGTGGGGAGGAGGAGGAGGAGGAGGAGGATGCATGGAAGGATGGAACTCAGCCGAGTGTGGCAATACCACCACCTTCCGAACTCCATTTTCTTCCACCACCTGTCAAGAAATGAAACATCAATACAAAAAAAACAATCTCGTAAATATTAGACATTGAATAAAGAATGATACCCGCAATCAAGACAGTCAGGGATACACCAAAATGAATTCCAGTGGAAACCCAGCAGAAGCTACTGGAAGAAACTGGAGATTGAGGCAGTCAGTTCCAAGCAGCTGAGCCTCACACACTGTGGTGCTAAGCAATCTATAATTCATGCATAATGTATATATTCTTCTAGTAAGTAAAGCGACTGTATGAGGGTGTAATTCCCAGTCTACTCGTATAGAATCATAGAATCACAGAATGGTTTGGGTTGGAAGGGACCTTAAAGATCATCTAGTTCCAACCCCCCTGCCATGGGCAGGGACACCTCCCACTAGACCAGTAATTAAGTCTAGAAGAGCTGCCATAGAACCACATCCCCAGTGACAGCACTACAGGACACACAGGTCACTGCGTGTCACCTCCTTTTGTGGGACACATCTGCGGACACATCCTTTGCCCGTGGCAAGTACAAAGAACTCCACATCAGCTCTGCTGTCTCCTGCTATGATCCAACTCAACTCAAACGTCAAAATATTTCACGTTCGCCACAGGCTAAGAGAATTCTGACAAGGAACCTGTCTGTGTGCTTGAATTCTAGGATAAAAAGATGCTCAGACAGCGTATATGTACCCACACTCCTCAACTGGCAACATACAGGCTCCTTCGGGATTCTAATTCTGCCATGAATATCTCAGTGTATTGCTTTTCCTGCAGTAAATTTAAGATACGTCAAGGTTTTATACAGTAACGCTTGCTCTAAATCTTAAAACTGAGAAGAGACTTTGGACAGAACACGGGTTTTAGAAGACAAGGTGAAAAAATAAGACCAGAATGGGATAGTGGGATTCACAACTAGATGTATTGAACAATGATGACACTGAAGGAAAACACTGCCCAGTTTAGTCTCATCTTTAAGACCCCCGGAACAGACAACCAGGTTTTCCAGGGTCCTTTCTCCAGGCAGGGCTCATGGTACAGAGAGGACATCTGCACTCATCTGTTCTCATTCCGTGGTTATGCTCCGTTTTGCTTATCTGAGGGATTAATTTTCAGCACCTCCAGTTCTGACGGGGTCAAAGGCTTCTGAATTGACCAGAGAAATCTCCTGGTCATATTCCAGTTTGTTTCTTCTGCCACAATACAGAAGTCCACTGCCATAAAGTTTAGGCTGTAATAAGAAGCCTGACTCAGAAGCAAGCTAGACTGTATTAAATCCTATTTAAAAGCAGACAACAAATCATTTTCTCCTTTGCACAAAAAATGAAAGAGGTACGAGCAATGCAATTGGAAAAAAAAAAAAAAAAAATAATCAATGATAGGAAAAATGTTCAATATTAAAGGCAAACTGACACTTCAAAATCAATCAAGTCTCCGTAGGAAAACCAGGCATTTGTCTTAGATTGGTTTAAAATTAGTCTGCAGTTTTATGCTTCCTTCCTCCTAAATCAGTCATCTCCTCCGAGTCGCATTTAAAAAAGCAAATCACAAATGCTATTAGGCAGGGCCTTGCAGTGCTTTAACATTAACAGAGATGGATCGTGTAGTCAGCAGAAAATATTATCCCTGGATGCAAGCGGGGAGCGCATTCCACCTGGAGGCTGGCATACCAAACTGAGAGGCAAAAAAAATAAATGTATTTTTATTGCAACCTCTAAAATTAATAATATAAAATAAAACCTGCTCTTAGAAGATTTCACCTTATTTACGCAGCCCGCTGTTATTAAAAATATACACAGTTTATATTTTCAGGCATTTAAAGAAAGCACTTACGCAAAAGCAGGCCATATGTTTTATCCTGTTAGTTTCTTCAAGATCCTCTCTTAAAGCATATTTAGTTTGGCTATAAGAAATCACTGCAGCATTTCCTAGTTGGCCAAGAAGGCATTACAGATGTTGAAATACCGCTTACGCCAAAAGTACATTTTGAAAAGCTCCTCAGCAAAAGACAGAGCAAACTAACAAGAAATTCTTCTTCTGAAGGAAAATAGAACGTGTCCGCTCACAAACTGCTACGACAGAGTCCAGCTGCGAGATGGCCTCAGAGTCAGCTGTATTATTAGCAAGTACTAACAGACTTTAAATAGAAGGGGAAAAAAAAATAAAAATGACAAGGAGAAGTCACTCCAGCCTAAGTTTACACTGAATACACTTTGTTCTAGAAACAACGTGGGGGGCTTTTTGGTTCATCAAGGGAACTAAACACACCACTTGAACCACATGACATTGCAGAATATTGTAACACACGCTATAACGTGTACAAGTCAAAAGCCAGAGCAAATTTTGATGGCTTTGTTAACTCTATTTGACATACATATTAAGCAAGAACACATGGCAGCTTTGGGTAGAAGGGATACATTAGTATATGAAGATTTTCACACGATTTTACAGCTGAAGATGCCATGTCCCCATTACCCACTACTGAATGACTTCACTTTACTTTGGCAGAAACCAACGTAATTATCTCTGGGCTCCTCCAGGCAGATTTGGGGACAGAAAGTTCAAGTCTCATCTACTGACAAGAACAGTACGATGAGCTCAAGCTCTGATTTAAAGTTGGTTTCAAATTTGTCTATCCCTGTCATAATGACCAAGGGGCAACAAAACAAAACTCATTTCATGTGACAGCAAACACAGAACAACCGCATTTTTCAGTTTGTCCAGCTCAGCATCTGCCAGTGCTTTGCACACTGTTTGTGCTGAAGACTCGACTTCATATTGATGCATGAATTATCTGGGGGATCTTTCCCCAGGGTCTGTGTGAAAGCACCTACTTATAACAGCAGAGGCAGCTGTACAGAAAAAGACAACTGCCAAGGGAACTCAAGAACATAGAGTTACAAGGTTTTACCCAGAAAACTCCTGATTTTGAACATCACTAGAAAATGAGAAACCTCACCCGTCTTGTTTAAAACTTTGTTTTTAATTACTCGCCTTTAAAAATGCATTAATTGAAAAGTAAATCAAACTGGAAAACTTCCAGTATCTCTGATAACAGTTCAAATGCCACGCACCTGCAGGTCTGACCTGCTACAGCTGAACGAGACAGAGGAGTGGAAAATCAAGGGGAGTGGAAAAGTAAAGCTGGGAGAGAAGCCCAGAGCCCTGCTCGTTCCATAGGCACATGTCACCAGCATTACCACTCCTCTCCACACTTCTGCCAGATCAGAGCTGGTAAAGAAAGAGGCATTGAAAATTTGATAAATAGAATTAGACTAGAATAGGAAAAATCTGAATTAAGAGAAGGTATTAAAGAGAAATATAAGGGGGGGGGGGGGGG